ACCGCTCTAAACGTTTACGAGACGGATGCACAACCCAGCCCTCGCGCAAGCTAGGGTCTGAATTTGATAAAGAGTGTCAAACATTGATATAAAGAGATCACTGGTCAAACATCAGAAATTGGTACCAATTGATCAGAAATCTGCAGGTGTATTTGAGGACGTATGACCCGTGTGGACATGATGTAGCAGCAACGGCATTCATAGGCGTTAATTGACACCAAGTTATTGTGTCACACATTTTGTGTGGCCCTAGTTTCCATAACTGTGTTCTGTTATCCCCTAGCGTTGAACTAACCGCTAATTTAACGCTTAACGGTCAAGCAGCGGACTCGGTTCGTAACTGCTTCGAGTATTGTGATTGTTGGTATTGTGATTGTTGTGGTTATTCCTGACATCATCAGGGTTACATAAGCTCTATTGTGGTATCTACTTTGTCATCAAGTTCATCACTTTGTGAACCTTTGTACACGTCGACGGTCAATAGTCTGTAGAGTTCTACGAAGCAAATTGTACCAATACTGTCGTAACGAGCCCGAGTTTCTGAGAAATTTAAATTCAAGGCATCGCATGCAAAACAGTCACTGTTGAACTGATGATTGAAACAACAAAATTGGGAACTTCAGAGTTCGTAATACTCACTCGATGAAATTTCAGACCCGGACGGATTTCCTATCAGTATGAAATCGGAGCGCAAAACATAAACTGAAGCGCCTATCAGAAGCATCGGGTCCTCCAGTGCCATCTTGCAATCACAACTTGTGACTGCTTACTCGACGAGATATGGGGTCTCATGTTGAATTGATTGAAGGAGAAATATCGTACGCAGTGAACCGGGAGTATATGACCGTCGCGTACCGACGACCTCCACTGTGACACAGACGGCCCTGGTATACACAGAATAGAGTAGCCATATTATCTCGAAGATCGGGAGGGCTACGGACGCCGAGGTCGGGACAACTGCAGAACTTCCATCTACACCCACCACAGCTTCACATGACATTCTTGCCTGTGTACCTCAGCTGTCATTTCTGAGTCTCCAAAGGCAAATAGGGAATTTGTTTTCCCTTAATTTCACATCATAATTTCTGCGACAAATCTCGAGTATACAAGAAAAAGTATCTCTAGCTACAGTTGTACTATCCAGTCGGCAGCTCCCATATCGAAAAGGTAATTAACAGCAAGCTCAACGTTACCATCGCAAACCCGCAACGCCTCAAGATTGGCCGCCCTGCATTAGATCACCATTCACCATCAAATTCGAGAAGGATGATCAGGTGCTTACGTATCGACAAAACCCATTGACCGTAACATTCCCAATTCGCTAGCATATCTCTGCTCCAGTTCAGCCTGATTAGGTGCGGGGACAGCTCCGTCTCCACCACCAGCTGATAATACGAGATGTACCCCTCTCCCACCATCTATCCTCCTTACCTAGCATCTGTGCCATCAGAGGGTTGTTCTGCATGGTCTTATGGTTTCAGCAAATTCTTCAATTATTATGGCATTCTGCAAATTGAAGAAGTAAATCTGATGGTTTATTCATGGTGAATATGAACTCTTTGTTTGAGTATGCCCAACGGGAAGAACATTGCAATGGGAGTCCTTCCCGTCACCGGATACTTCGATCGCTTTTCATAACACTATGTCTCAGACACGTTGAGCTTTGCATTGCCCACTCGACCACTTCTACGAATCTCAACTCAGAATATCAACACCCGCGTATTGGTGTCGACTCTCATAGGCCATCTCAGTGTACTCGATCACCTAGTTTATTCCTTGTCTCAGTAGTATCCTCATCGATCTGCCCATCTCCACAAAAGTGAGCTCTCTGTCGAGAGCTGCCGTATTGACAACCAAACATATTATAGTTCAACACAGAGTGTTCTAATGCCTAGGCCTTCCTAGCCCTCTTGCAACATCGCTCACAGTCGCAGATGAATCCATACGGATCAAGTTGCTTTTGTCTTTCTCCAGCTGAATCCTCTTCAATGTCACAATAGCTGACCATTAGTTCCTCACCAGCAGCTATCGACCCCGACTCTAACACATTTGCCACTAGCGTTGCTCCATCACCAGAGAACTCGATCTCCATATTAGGTCGACACGAGTGGTTCACACAAGACAACAAGGGGAAGACCGCCCAGCCTCTATAGTCAGGTGATAGCGTCCGACTATTAATCACAACACCCTGACCTAAATCAACCTCGACAGAATCATCGTCCAACACAGCAGGTGTGGTGGCGCCTTGCACGACCGCCCGTAGAGCACTCAGATCGGCGTCAGTCTGAGACACCGCCAGAAGGTACTCCGTCAATGGGTTGGGATAGGTAACCATGATAGCGTTTCGACACAGCTTTCCAACCAAGCCATTGAGGCCTTTGGAAGTCCCAAACTTCTTCGTTTCCACGTCAGCCTCCCTCAGCAGATCAGCCATTGCTCTTGCGCCCTTCTCCAGTGTTTCTTTACAGGCTTCAACGAACTTTGCAGCTTCTTGTGGATCTTCAGGTACGTCCACACATTCCCAATAGTTCACATCACCACCGCATAGCCTTCTCACGCCTTCTCTCAGCTCAGCCTCAGCACCAGAAAAGCCCAAGATCACTTTAGCCGCCAACAACAGGTACTCCATATCGCCATTTTTGGCCACCTCGCGGACCTTCCGACCTCCCTCGCTTTCCCACAGAGGACGATGTACATTATCAAACCCATCGCGGCAGTGTCGAGAGCAGAACAACAGAGTGTCACCGTCGGCCTGCCAAGCGATAGGGGTCTCGTCAGTCAACCTGGAAGCCTCTCCAGGGACCTTTGGGAGCTCCGGAGTGAACAACAGCTCGTAGATCAACTTCTCATCAGCGTCGTTGAACACTTTCGCCATCTCCTTGATGGTGACCAACCCCAAGCCGAATTTCAACTGTAGTTGTAGTGAGCCCAGAAACCGTCCACATGTTTCGCAGACACATAAAGAGGTGTCGAAAGCCCGTACCAGCGCACCGAGAAGAGGGCGCTCAGCCCAGAGTGTCTCGCCAGCTTGCAACGTATCGGTAGCGTACAAGCCTATGCCGCGTTCATCGCTACGCTTCGCCTCAATATGGAGGTCCTCGCTGCCTATTGCTGTAATGAGGTTGGTGTAATACTTCTCAGACATTTTCTGACACTTTCAAGACCGTCGTATGCCGACGAATAC